AAACAGGCCGTTGTTTTCAAACTCCTTTCCAGAGTGGGAACAGTGCAGGAGAACATACGACAACAGCTGAAAACAGCAGATAATACTTAATTTGTATTTTAAAATTGTATAATCATAAGATAAATGTTTTCTTTGAAGCAGGAAGAAAACAATAATACTCTTACATACACAGAATGCCTGGAAAAGTTCTCAAAGGGAGAGAAAGCTACTGATGTTGTAGATATACACATACAGAATAGCAGAATATAAACACCAAGGAGCTTAGGTTAAAAATGGACACAGACAAGGAGAGAAAAAAAAAAAGTCTCCCTAATTCAACTATCACAACTGCTTTTCTTTCATTGCATTGATTTCCTGTCATTGGAAACTTTTAAATCAAAGCGAGATGAATCTGAAAGCTTTACTCCAGGAGATTTAATTCAAGAGACTCCTCTGACCAGCGTGACGCAAGGGGTCAAAACCCTCCCTTTCTGCCTTGATAATCTCGTAATCTGCGGATAATGTGAAGGCACAATGAATCACAGCAATAATGATCTCATCTCTGCAACGCAGGAAACAAAAGTTCACGATGAAATGAATAGCACCGGAAACCCAAGCCCAAAATACCAAAACAAATATGCATTTGTCCTTAGACAGGCCTGCGTTTTATATATTCCAGCAATTCCAAAGTATTTACATGCAGCAAATCCCTTTGGATTGCAGTACTATCATTTCCCAGGAGCAGGACTGACATTTGGCAAAGCTATATACAGACACGCAGGAAAAATTGTGCAAGATCTTTTGATAATTGTGGAGACAGCTTTTAAAGTAACAACCATCGTTTCAGTGGAGTCATTCCCTCTCCTAAAAATACTGCCTTAGTTTTAAGGTCTGAGGGAAGCTACAATCATCAGGACACTCAGATTGTTTCTTACTATTGCAGCAGGATTCTTGTGCTACAGTAGCCTGTCATATTTGGGAGACACAAGCAAGGAACAGCCTGGAGAGGGCAGGAAGTCTGGTATTTGATCTTCATTTTTGCTTTCATATATTAGTCTCAAACTTGTTCCCTATATTTTAAACCTATCATTTGAAAAACCAGGCTCACCTCTGCAAGGGACTCATGCCTAAGGAAGCAGAGCTGCAAACTCCAGCCAGCAGAGACATGTCCTCAGGGAAAGCAGTGCTGTTTGCTGGGGAAACATTACCTTCCTGCATCTGAAACCAGGATGCTTTCTCCTACCAGCAAAAACTATTGACATATCCATTGAATATGTAAAATATACAAATATGATGTCTCTCTCTGTACTGAGTGACAGCAATTCAGCTGGTTGTAAACAAGAAAGCAAAGATTAATAGGAAATTGGAATGAAGAGCCAAAAAGGAAAAGAAAATTCTGAATTATAACCTAGAATTTTTTTCAAGTTCTAAATCAAACAAAATAGTGGTAACTTCAATGTTGTGGTCCTGTATAAGCTACGTAGAGATGGAAAGTTGGCATAAGTGCTTAGGATTTAAGTGCACAGAGATAGGACAAAGGGTGGGTTGCCAGGATGGAAAACTAGTGACAGCCCAAACCCAGTTTTTCATTTTCCAGTTCAAAACAAATTAAAAAAATCATATTTCCATATTTTCACACAGCAAGTGAATTTCTCCTTATGAAATGTCACAATTAAATCCGTGCTGCTTTACAAACTTTCCCATATTTATTTAGCAATTAAATAAAACTGACTGACAACACTAATTGCTTAAAATAAACATTTCTCTTTCCAACTACATTGAATTAACAGGATGAGAAAATAATAACCAAGACCAACTCTTTCAACAGAAAAATAATTTCCAATAACTCTAAAGCTTTTAAGCTAAAACCCTAAGGAATAAGTTTCCAAAGTTTCCCAAGTTTGCAATTTAGGCCACACAGAAAGGAATCACACAGAGCACAGGCTACACTTGAGTTTATCAATGAATGGAGCACTTAACAAACCAAACTGGGAAGCCCAAATGCCATTCTCATAACACGCTCTCTTCATTTACATGCAGATAAATGGATGGGCAAAAGGCAGCCTGCATTTTGGCATGTGTTTGCATTTATTTCTTTTCCTTCACACAATTGCATGGTGGTATTTCATAGGATTATACTCTAAAATGCCTGTTTGTTAAAGGACAAGAAGCGCGGCCACGCTCCTCTCCCAGGTACATCACTGTGCTTTGCTAGGAGCAACTTTTCATTCCACGGAGCTCTCTGGGCTCAACGGCAGTGACAAAGTTACTCGTATTGATTCAGCATCGCACAGCAGCCCAGGTAGGGCTATGAAAACACAAGCAGACATTTAGCCTACCTGATTATATGGCTCGATCTGAAGTGCCTAGGCTAGAAATCCAGCTTTCTAGCTCCCCTGGGACCTGAATTAGGCTCTGACACCGATTCTCCCCATCTCCCTGCTCCTCTATGCCCAGTGCCCATAGAGCATCCCTAGGGCAGCTCAGTGCTGACCCTGGAGCCTCATCCCGTCAGGACGGATGGGTCCAAAGCCTGTGAGCTACCTTAAACTTCAGACTCCCAAATGCACCCTAAATACAACCCAGTCTTTACAAAATTAACACTGTAGCTTTCCTTAATAATTTTCCTTAAAAATTGTGTTCAGGATCGTTGCTCTTTACAGCAGCATCTTCATAAAGCACGTTAGTCTAGCTGAATATTCAGCGAGTTTTCAGTCCCTTTGAAAATGCTGCCCT